ATTTTTGATTTATTGTACAGATGAGGTCTCACCAAGTTGCCCAGGTGGGTCTCGAACCCGCGGTCTCAGGCAATCCACTCACCTCAGCCTCCCAAAGGCGCGGGATTACAGGCTGAGCCACCGAGCCCGGCTGATAAATTATTTTCTAATGAAGTAAAATGAATTGGTCTAATCTCTCTATAGATACTTAAAAATATTGAACATCACATTAAGTAAGTACACGGGACTTAGAAACTGATTTTTAACAGTTTTTCAAACAAATATGATCATTTAGATATCAGTTGAGTATTTAAAATCAATGCATAGCTCAGTCTTCAACATAATACAACCTATAATGACCACTTACCAAGTTTCTAGATCTATCAACACTACAGAGTTTTCCAGATACTATACTGTAAGTGTTTCCAATGGGTTTTTCAGCAGGGAGAGGAGGTGGGCTTTGTGGATCCTCATGTAAACCTAGAAAAAAAAAAAAGCAGTAATTCATCAATAATTTCTAGTCTTTGGGATTCCAAAGAATGAAGTGATTACTGCTTGGATTCTTAGAAAAATGGCTAGCATAAACAATCCATACAAAGAATAGACAGTTAAGCAAATGAGAAAGAACTCTCATCCAACCTCAGAAAAATGATGTTAGTCAACATCAGTTAATTTTACTACATGCTTTGTAGAAAATAATCCCAAATAATTACAGCAGCAGCCAGCATTTATTTATAGACATTTCTCCAATAAGTATCTGTATGCTGTTTGTTCAGTCCACTAGCTAGTAGCCACATACAGCAATTTAAACTTAAATCTTAATTAATTAAAATTAAATGAAATGTTCAGCTCAATTGCACTAGTCACATTTCAAGTACTACCAGAGAGACATGGAACATTTCTATCTTTGCAGGAAATTCTACTGGACATTGCTACACTAGATAATACCCTATTTTACAGATGAAGAAACTGAAGCTAAGAAAATAAATGAGCCAGTCAAGGTCTTCACTCTAGTAATTGTCAGATCCAGAGTCTTGACTCCAAAAGCCTTTGCTCATTCTAATAAGGCATGCTGCTGCTTAATAGGTGGTACAGCCAATCCTACCCCCATCTAATAATAATAAAATATGTTTTTGAATTCATTAGATTCTGATTAATAGACTTAATGATCTTCAATTAAAAAAAAAACTTTAGGCCAGGTGCAGTGGCTCAAGCCTGTAATCCTAGCACTTTGGGAGGCTGAGGTGAGGGGATTGCCTGAGTCCACGGTTTTGAGAACAGCCTGGGCAACTTGGTGAGACCTCGTCTCTACAATAAATCAAAAAATTAGCTGGGTGTGGTAGCGCGTGCCTGTAGTTCCAGCTACTTGTAAGGCTAAGGTGGAAGGATCGCCTGAGCCCAGTGGGTTGATGCTGAGGTGGCCATGAGCTTGCCACTGTACTCCAGACTGGGTGATGGAGCGAGACTCCGACTCAAAAATAAAAATTAAAAAAAAAACTTTACATCCAAGCCACACCCTTTTCTCAGTGATAGTGTACCCCAAATTTATTTCCAGAAGAAGGAAACAAAGATGACCAGATTTAACTGGGGACAGCTACTTAAAACCAGTGTGCAAAAACACTTGGTGAGAGGATGCTTGTTACACTGCTTGGATTAGGCACCGAAAGGAGATAGGAATTTTCATTTTTTTCAAATGAACACCCTCTACTTCCATTTCACATGACAAACCTATAACAAAAGAATGATTTGTCAGTTTCCTATTTTACCGACAGACAGGAAAACACTCTCAAAGAGAGGAAAATACCCAGGTCTACTAGCAGGAAAACAATGATTTAGAGATAGGCCAGCGTCCTTAGTGAGAGGCAGGGCCGCTCTGGGAATTAAGACAAACACAAGAACATCCAACTCAGATGCCATATTGAAGACTTTTAGCTGCAGTTCCCTTCTTCTTATAAGGAAATAATGAATAGTTTAGAATGTAATACTATTGTGACAAATATTTAAAAGTACAAAGTAGTCATATGAAAGTCGAGAGGAGATGGCATGCTGGCAGGAGGGACATAGGGCATGTCTGGAGTGGGTGGGTATGGGTGTGGAGGTAGGACATTTCCAATTTCAGGTAATATAGTTGAGGAAGGTCTTGCTGAGAAAGAGTGGCATCTGAGCAGACCTGAAGGAATGGTGAGGGAGAAACCCATGCAGACATCTGGGAAAAGGACAGTCTAGTCCAAAAAAACAGGTTCTGAGGGGGAAGGAGCTGAGCTGACAAGTTCAAAATCAAGACTTTGCTCCTTTCCCCCCTTATCCATTCCAACTTTTTCAGACACCAGAAGTCTCTTTTTCCTCTACAGCATATATGCATTGCCTAGTGATGGTGATAATAAGATTCTGGGGAACTTCTTTTTGATGTAAATGTCAACAGCTCTCTAGAAACCACCTTGTCATTTCCGTTCTCTCACATCTAACAGTACAGATTCCAACTTTCTAACAATTCCTGAAGCTCTGTCAGGATACTCATGAGAGGTACTTGCTCAGTATATCCTTTTGCAGGATTTCAGAACTATCAATCCAGTTTACAGGTGTGTAGTCAATAGGCATCGTGGGCCTGAAACTGCTTATCCTTAGAAAAGCCTGCTTACGAGACTGGTCCTTGGCTGTCATCTGGGAACTTGGACTTTGAGACGGTTCCCTCCATCTCCAGAACTAACAACACAGAAGAGGACAGTTTATGCTAAACACGTGCTTTCCTTCTACGAATCTGGAATTTTGGTATGTGCCCAAATCTCTAAGAGTGCCTATGTAATCAGTCCCCAAGAAAAAACCTCAGCATTGAGCCTCTAACGAGCATTACTAGAAGACCACCTTCTAAGAAGCAAGAACCCACCAGGATTTAGTACCCTTGACTGTTTCTCCTCCTTTTTCTTCATGGCAACTCAGCTCAATCTTTCTGCTACTTGGCTGAAAGCCAGCAGTTAATAACAAAACCAAGAAGAGACTAAAATCAAAATGAACTTCCAGGCAGTGTTTTATAGAAAAACCAAACCCCTAATAGAAAGGGGATCCTGGGGTGCTAAGGTGAGAGATGGGGACACTTGCTCTGTTGTTATGAGGAAGGGAGTAGGCAGACTCTCTTGTTAGACAGAGGCAGGAATGCATCTGGGCTGTGCAAAGCATTGCAGATGTAGATGAAATCAGAGGTCTGTGAGAAGGCTGTGTGATCACTCCAAGTAATGCTAAGACCCACTATGCATGTGCATACACTCTCCCTTTTTAAAAAGAATTTGGGACCTACAATAAATAGTTCTGGCCCTTCTATCTTCTCTTTTACAATATATATTCTCTTTCAAAAGACTATACACAATTTCATTTACGGTGTCATTAAAAAAATCAAGTAAAGAAAAATCAAGGAAGTAAATAAAAATGTAATGTCACACACTTGAAAAGTCTTTTTAGCTGGGCACAGTGGCTCATGTCTATAATCCCAGCACTTTGGGAGGCAGAGGTGAGAGGAATGCCTGAGCTCATGGGTTTGGGACAAGCCTCGTCTCTACAATAAATGAAATTAAAAAAAATTAGCCGGGCGTGGTGGCGCATGCCTGTGGTTCCAGTTACTTGGAAGGCTGAGGCAGAAGGATCGCCTGAGCCAGCAGGTTGACGCTGTGGCGGCTATGAGTGTGCCACTGCACTCCAGCTTGGGTGACAGAGTGAGACTCCTACTCAAAAAAAAAAAAAAAAAAGTCTTTGTAGACATTGTTATATGTTTTTAAAGCTTCTGGTTACTGCTCCTCACACAGTTCATACACAGCCATATTGAGATTATGCTGACGGGAACAACATGCTCCTAATAGACATATGCAACTTTATCTGCTATTAGTTTTGATTACTTTCGCATTAACTATTTACCAGGGACACTAACATGGGATACTACAATTATTCTGAATTTCCAGTCTCCTTCTGTTCTCTCTGCCTAGGACAACATTAAGAAAAATAAAATCCAGGCCGGGCTAGGTGGATCAGCCTGTAATTCCAGTACTTTGGGAGGCCGAAGCGAGCGAACTGCCTGAGCCCACGGGTGCAAGACCAGCCAGGGCAACTTGATGAGACCTTGTCTCTACAATAAATCAAAAAATTATCCGGGCGTGGTAGTGCGCGACTGTAGTTCTGGCTACTTGGAAGACCGAGGCAGAAGGATCACCGGAGCCCAGCAGGTCAACGTTGGGGTGACCATGAGTGTGCCACTGCACTCCAGCCTGGGCAACACAGTGAGACTCTAACTCAAAAAAAAAAAAAGAAATAAAATCCAAATTTACTGTACTAATTTTCCAAAGACTTGGAAAAAACTTGCTCTTACAAATCCATGACTAGAAATGGCAGATTACACATAATTTCAAAAGCAGACATGGATAATGGATAAATGAGCATAGATTTCTCCCAGGCTGGCTCTCGAAGAAGCAAATAAAGACAGAGGTGCTTACATTTTCCTGGTTTGGCTGGAATTCGGATGACAGTGGGCTTCCTGGAGGGTGCCGGCTGAGTTGCTTGCTCTTTTGTTGGTTCTGTTTTCGTGGGGAGCTGAAAGGGATCTAATGAAAAACAGTTTATTTTGCATGTTTTAGTTAACACAGACTCAAACAAAAAACCTCATTCATAATTTAAGAGTCACATTTTTCATGCCCCAGGGAAAACTATTCATGGATAAACAGAATCTCAGTTTGCAGAGACAAAAACAAAGTTGGAGCTCATAAAAGGAAATATCTTGGTGCGCTAAATAATTCATATGGCTCTTATTCCTTTCTGATGAGAGAGTCTAGGATGATCTTGAATTATGTAGAAGCTGATCTTTCAGGGAAGTGTAATCATTTCATAAGTGTCAGCCTGAAAATGAGGAACAATTGAAATCAGGAGACAATCTCTCCTGCATCCTGAAGCTTCGCAGATCCTGCAGAAAAGAGGGACTCGCCCTCCCCCAATCCCCCGTGCTTGTAGGGCCTCGGAGGGCCCTCATCCTGCCCAGTGCTGTGCCTGGCTCAGGGAAGATGCTAGGTAGCCTTGGCTTCAGTAGTTTAGTAAAATTATACTCCAGACCATCCTGGGCAACATAGTGAGAACTTATCTCTAGAAAAAAGTTGAAAAACTAGCTGGGCATGGTGGTATGCACCTATACTCCCAGCTACTCGGGAGGCTGAGGTGGAAGGACTGGCTGAGTCAAAGAGGTCAAGGCTGTGGTGAGCCACGATGATGCCACTGCACTTCAGCCTGGCAACAGAGTGAGACCCCAACAAAAAGCAAATAAACAAAAACAACACTCCAGTAATATGGAAATGAAAAACATTTTATCCTAGAAATAAAGTAAGACATATCCCTTCAAATATTTAATTTTAGGGCAAGGATATATGACGCATCATGTCTCCATCATAACTGATTTATTTTACATGGACAGTGTATGCTTAGGAAAAGTATTTTAAACAAAAAGTACAGCTATAACACTTTGTTACTAAAAGAAGTAGTCTTTGTCTTTAATGCTTTTTGTTTATTTTTTGAGTCAGAGTCTCACTCTGTCACCTAGGTTGGAGTGCAGTGGCATGCTCACAGCCACCGCAGCCTTGACCTGCTAGGCTCAGATGATCATTCCACCTCAGCCTTCCAAGTAGCTGGAACTACAGGCCCGCGCCACCATGCCCGGCTAATAGTTTTTTTAAAATTTATTGTAGAGACAAGGTGTTGCCAAGTTGCCCAGGCTGGTCTCAAACCCCTGGAACTCAGGCAATCTTCTTACCTTGGCCTCCCAGAATGCTGGGATTACAGGTGTGGGCCACCTGTGGGATTACAGCTCTGGAAATGTAAATGTTCTTTTTAGCGGTTTGGAAAAAAAACTATGAAATTTTTACATACTGGAAACCTAAAAACAAATAGATTAGCAAGAATAAAATAAAGTGCTCTTTAATGGGTAGACTACACAGCACGCAGGGTCTCTCTGAGCAGGTGCAGAATTACAGCAAATGCTGGTTCTGCCTCTCGTTGAATACGGGCAAAGATGGCCTCAGGAGACCCTGTGTGCTGTGTAGTCTATTCATTACAGAGCAGTTTATTTTATTCTTGCTAATCTATTTGTTTTTAGGTTTCCCATTTGTAAACCCCTTGGGAAGATATGCACTGACGCCAGTGTCTAGAACACCTGTCAAAGCAATTTTGGAACTCTTTTTCTGAAACGGCCATCAGAGCTATCATTGTATCACGCTTTATGTCCTGAATGTCACAAAAATGCCTTCTTTTCAATATTTCCTTTATCTTCGGGTAAAGAAAAAAGTCACTGGAAGCCAGATCAGGTGAATAGGGAGAGTGTTCCGATATAGTTATTTGCTTCCTGGCTAAAAACTCCTTCACAGATAGTGCTGTGTGAGCTGGTACATTGTTGTGATGCCAGAGCTCCTTCAGGACCATTTTTGCATACACCTTTCTCATGCCAAGATTTTCAGTTAAGATTTTCCTGTTTCTCTATTGATGTTCATTCACTCTGCTATGCTTTTCACAGTCAGCTGATGATTTTGATGCACAATTAGGAATATTTTTGCAATGTTTTCGTCAGTTCTGCTCGTTACTGGCCGTCCTGACCTCTCTTCATAGTGACACTTTCTCTCCCCTCAGAAAAATGTTTAATCCATTTGTACACTGCTGTTTTCTTCATGGTATTATCCCTATAAATTTGGATTACATGTCCCTGATTTCACTTCCACTCTTGCCAAGTTTAACAAGAAATTTAATGTTTGTTCATTGCTCTAATTCAGACTATGGCATTCTCATGACAACTGCTCTGATGGCCATTCCAGAAAGAGTTCCAAAACTGCTTTGATGGGTGCTTTCGGCACCTATAATCTGTTCATTATTAGCAAAGGATTGAGTTCATAATGTTTTTTGGGTGGGTGTGAAGGGGAAGAAAATCTGGAGCATGGAATGACTTCCATTGTTTCCCAACTCATTTAATTCTTGACTGGTCTTCCACCTACATGCTCTCTCTCACATTCCAGGAGTGAGGGCATGGATGGGGGTGGCAGGGAAGGGAGAACAGAGGCCAATCACTATCCCTGGGAGCTGGGCACGGGGACATCCAAAACGTCCTGCTGTTGAAGGACTGGCCTCCAGAAATGATGCCCCACATCTTGCACACACTGTGGGCAGATCTCACCTGTCACATTAAAGATCCAGTCTTTTTTTTTTTAGTTGGGATCTCACTCAGTTGCCTAGGCTTGAATGCAGTGACACAATCACAGCTCACTGCAGCCTTGACCTCCTGGGCTCAGGGACGCTTCCTCCTCAGTCTCCCAAACAACTGGGACTACAGACATGTGCCTGGCTTATTTTTAGTTTAGTTTTTTTTTTTTTTTTTTTGTAGAGAAGAAGTATCACAGGCTGCTCTCAAACTTTTGGGCATAAGCAATTCTCATGCCTCAGTTTCCCAGAGTGCTGAGATTACAGGCATGAGACTGAGTCAGGCCCTCTTTTTTAACCTGAAGGATTTAAATCGAAGTTGCAGAGGTATAACTTATAAAGTATTCAAAGTGTCCCAGCTACCTGCTTTTTCTCTTTTTTGGTCTTTTATTTTTAATACAATTAGTTTTTATTGCTAGTCTCATTTTATTTTTAATTCCATTTAATGGTATTAAAAGGTATTACAAATAAATGTAGAGATATATAAAAGGTCATGTGTAATTATCCTGCGGTACATGTCTCTGGGAAAATACTTTCTCTCTCCATACACTGAGGCAAGGAAGTCTCAGCATTCCACCACTGCAGGCCGTTTGGCAGGAGTGGTCCTGCTTAATGATCTACCCCAGCAGTGCTCACTGCATCCATGAGTGCTACGTCTGCCTCTCTGCCTGTCTGTTGTCCGGGCTGTGATCCAGGCAAGGAGTGCAAATGAGTGGGAGGAGAAACAGCATGACTTCAGCGAGAAGGTGGAGCCCGAGGCCTATTCTCCATCTTGATGGTGTGCAAGTCTCTCTCTCACTGAACTTGACCTTTCATAACAAAATGAAAAGAGGGCAACATATCGTCATGTGTGGGAACTCCAGGCACTGCCAGGTGGGAAACTGGATCATTGGTACCAGCTAAAATGTTTAAAGTTCATACCCTTTGAGCTAGTAGTCCCACTTCTGGAAATTTACTGTTCAGAAATAAAAGCTCCAGTAGGAGTGGAAATGCTTATGAGAATATTTACTGCAGCAATTTTTTTTTTTGTAGTGGTAAAAACCAAAACAAAACCCCTCAAATTTAAAAACAAAGGAAACAACTTGAAAGTCTACCAATAGGGCAAATACTGGATCATCTTCGATTTACTTGTCCTATGGAATATTCCACAGGTATAAGAAAACAAGGAATTAGACCTAGACCTACTAGTCTGAAGAAAAGTAATAACATTTCACTGTCGAATGGAAAAAACACCTGCTAAGTAATAGGCACAGTATGATAAGAATTTCTGGCGGGGTGTGTGTGTGTGTGTGTGTGTGTGTGTGTGTGTGTGCCATACCTCATCAACAAGGGCACCTGCATAATGAACATTAGTATACCTAACCCTGAATTGTACACCACATATTTAAAATAAAAAATAAAATAAAACAATTTCTGGAAAGAGTCCACATATGTGTACATGTGTGTGAGCTTTGGTTTGGCATGTCCACAGTCATAAGAGGCTGTGTCCTTTGTTCATGCTGGTTACTGAGGGAATTTAGATGGATTGGAGGGAGATTACATTTTTAAAAAAAATTAAATTCTCTGAATTGTTTGACTTGTTACAACAAATCTGTTTTACTTTTGTAACTGGAAAAAAAAGTCCAGTAAGGGCATGGTAGTTCATGCCTATAATCCCTGTAAATTTTGGGAGATCGAGGAGGGAGGATTGCTTGAGGCCAGGAGTTAGACCAGCCTGGGCAACATAAGAAGACCCTGTCTCTACAAAAAAGTTAAAAAAAAAAAGTCCAGTAAAATGAATTCAACCACAAGGAAACATTAAACAATTAAGCTGAAATAACAACTCTGCCAAACAAACAAAAACCACTTAAAAACAAGAGGAAAAATAATGAAAATTATTGTTCCTTTTGTTGCTTTTTCAGGGCAATAATGGCCATAAAATTTTCAGTCTGAAAAACTCCTTTTTCAGATTCTATGTAAAATAAAATAAAGCAGATGTAAAATTTTTGAATTTACCTAATTTAGGCATATTTAGTTCATAATAATTAGCTTCTATTTGTAAATTTGAATAATATAATTATTTAGAAGAATCACTATTTTACTATTTTGAAAATTTCTATTCAACACAAGGTTGAGGATTATTGGAGGAAGTTGTTCTCTTTCCGTGGCAAAGATAACAAGAGATAATACTCCCAGTTTTGTGTGGTAATTTGTTTCAGTTGAATTATACTTATGTTCAGCTGTTTTTAAGAAGATTATTGATTGATGAGCTATTTTGTTAGGGCATTTGCACATGGTCTGCAATTTAAAAAGGATCAGATGGTATCTAGTGAGAACCAGGTTCCCCCACTCTCTCCTGTCTAGTCAGTTCCCTCATAAAAGACTCTTGTTACCTTTC